GGTCAAAAGGGATTCTCATAAAGTGATGCTGCCATGCTCGGATTTGTTGCGTGGGGGGTTGGTTGTTGAGGTATCGCCTACGGACTGATGTCTTGCCCACACCAGGGTCGCCAATCAACATGATATAGGTCCCTCTGGGTGATGTTCCCGAATTATGACGACAGTTATAGGCCATGAGATAATGAAATCGTTATAAAATGAGAGGGCGGATATTGCTGGTTGGAGATGGGAGGGTTCACGTCAGGTTGCGACGTGGTTGACTCGGTAATTGTAAGGTCGTGAAACTTTCTGTCATCGACTTTAGAATGTCCTTCTCTTTTCTAATATGATTCCCTACACTCATTAGATAGTATTGGGGATGGAGATTTGAGACTTTGCTGAAAGTCTTGAGTTTTCACATCCTAGGGGTATATCAAAACTTGTATTGGGTAGGAGAGGATCTAGTGTGCCCCAGATAAGCGCCACAGTCGAGGTGCCCGAGTAGAATCCGTCGCGTCGATAACCCATGACATTTGCTTCACGACGGGGCCCATCTATTATTTCATTGCCTGATGGAGCGGGTTCATTCTCAGAAGTTTGAGAACAATAGAGCAATCCATTGATGTGGTCAAAAGTCAACAAGGTTATATCGGAGATTAAAAAACGACGAAGATCATTCAAAGCCCACGTGACCTCTACATTGAGAAATAGGGCCAAGTAATCTGCCTTTTTATATCTTATAGGTCACAATGTCTGGGATTCGCTTCAATTACACTAGGTCAGATGTACTGCGTGCGATACTCGATGAAATAATCAGACAGTTATTAGAGTCCATCCAGCAAATCTCGTATGCGCCCTCCCAGCGCTCTATCTCTTTTCCTTCTCGAAAGATACTTGTAGTATCCATACCAAGCTATTGTATTAAACACACTGCGGGCGGAATCTCCCAGTTGAATTGCGCATTCGAGAGCATCTATGGCCCCTATCTGATGGGCTGCCTTCTTTGCCTCTTCTGTCGTGACACAGCGTCCCGAAACTTGATCTTCTCCCGTACTATGATCGGATTTGCACCCAAGTAGAAATATAGGAACGGCATGGGTGCACCGTAGTACCATTGGGTGCCACTAGAAAGCTTATTAGTCTTCGTGGTTGAAGTAAGCGGTGAGGGATTACAGGTAATCGGATTTCTCACCCTGTATATGGCATTGTAGAGAGTTTCTGGCTTCGACCAATCGTAGCAAATTACTACAACCTCACTGTCAGGCAGGTACCACAGAGCCCATGGCACTGAGCCCCCGGGCTCAGGCGATACCCTCTTGAGGTTTAGCGTCATCCTTACCCGTTTCTTGCAAGGCAGTTTGCAACCGGTGCGGATCCTATGAATCATTGTTGGCAGCTTCACATGTGACTTGAGTTGTCCATTTGGTAGGATAGGTGATGAATCAAGTAGAAGAGTGGTCCTTTTATATGAGCATTGGTAGGTCTGAGTGGGTTGAGAGGGTGATTCACCGTAGAGGCACCGTTGGTAAACTGATTGTTTACCCACCCCTGAATCACCAATAAGCGTAATATTGATCCAAGGATCTGACATCACTATTGATAAGTGTCACTTATCGGGATGTAAGGGGTTAGAAATGGGAAGGGGCAAGTGGTGAATTTGTTGAGTCAATCTGCCACGTACCCTTATTCGATCCCCTAAGTCAAATCCCCTTCTATCCTCTCAAGTGTTGAATAATATCCATACCAAAAGAAAGTATCGCAAATCTTTTTGACGGAGCTACCGCGCATTGCTGTGCATTCGAGTGCATCAATTGCTCCGATTTGAAGTGCTGCTTTCTTTGCCTCTTCTGTGGTGACGAAAGTTGGAGACTTCCGATACAGCTCAGCTTTCATATCTGACTTGCATCCGAGTAGAAAGATAGGAACGTGAGGTGCATGATGCAAGACCAACGGATACCACTAGTAATTCCATCAGTTTCGGCAT